ATCTAACAACAACGTTATAGATAAATCCTCTCATCTTTCCTATTAAACCAGAAATACCCTGTGGGGAGGGACTCCCTTTTTCATCTTTGTATCTCTTAACACCTAGCTTAATGCTTAGTCCAAATAGGAGCTTAATGCATCTTTGTGGACTAGAATTGCTTGTGGAGAAGTTTCCTGACTCATTTAAAATTATAGACCAGTGCTTGTTTAATAAGTAGGAACAGGCAGTAACAACAATAACAAAATCCTATTTCCTACTGCTTATTCAACTAATTCCTCCCTTTGTGGAAATGAATTTTTAAAATCTTCATTTATTAGTATATATTTTTGATATTTTTTTTCATTCCTAAGAGAATTTTAGTTCTAATGCAGACTAAAACTTCTATGACATGCCTTTGGATAATATATTGAATAGATTCTGTCATCTCAGAGATCTGTATTCTACATAGTCATTTTCATGGCTTCATGGTAATATTTTGTGACTTTGAGCCAGTTTATTTCAAAACACAACGAATTGAGCATTTTCCATGTAATAAACATGTGGCATGTGAACCAAGGTTATTTCTAATAATTAAGAGCATGAGAAAGTTCTTGAAGGGAAAAGAAAGATAAAGACCTGGCTAATTACTAAGGAGAATGGAAAGTGAGCTGAAAAAATAGTGAATGTATTATTGAGAAAGCATTGAGACCAGACCTGAGATTGAAAGCCAGCCATTGTGGAGGTGTCCGTCAGCACAATGGCAGCGGCGTTTTCTCCAGCTGTTCTCTGTGGCCAATCAGCAAGTACCGTAAGTTACTGTGTTGAAGACCCTAGGGACAGGTATAAGGGAAATTTAGGAAGAACAAGGAGTTAAATATGGATTACATCAAGAAAACAAAAGTCATCACTACTGGGCCATAAACAGCATCATGATAGTTGGAGAAAAGATTGAGGTTGTCAGCTGTTTCATTTTACTTAGATCCGCAGTCACCACCCGTGGTAAAATCAGTCAAGAAATCAAAAGACCATTTACACCGGAGAAACCTGCTGTCAAGGACCTCTCCGAAGTGTTAAAGAGCAAGGATGTCAGTTGAAAGTACACCTGATTCAGGCCATGGTATTTTCAGTTGTCTCTTATGCCCTTGAAAGTTGGACAGTGAATAAAGATGATAGCAAAAGCACAATGCCTTTAATCTAGGGTGTTGGAGACGAATACGGAATATCGCATGGATTGCCAAAAGAACAAATAGATACAGCTTGGAGGAAATACAGCCAAAGTGCTCCTTTGAGTCAAGGATGATCAAACTTCATTTCACACACTCAGGGCATGTTATCATGGGGGCCAATCCTTGGAAAAAAGCATCATGCTTGGAAGAATAGAGGGTCAGCAAACAAGAGGAAGGACCTCAACAAACTGGATTAGCACAGTGACTGTAACAGTGGGCTGGAGTCTATGAGACACCACGAGAATGGCCCAGGCCAGGATGGGGTTCAGACCTATTGCTCATAGAGTCGCTGTGAGTTGTAGTTAACTCAGAGGCATCTAACAACATCAACCACCAGGAGTTGGGAGTACTTTAAAGAAAATGCCTATGTGGATACTTTCAAATCATGATGGTAGCTGTTAGTTTGGAGGGGAACTCGAGGAACCAGCTCCCAGAGTCCCCATCAAATGTGTCCCAGTGGTTTGGGTGCTGGCAGTGCCTGGTGAGGTCAGCCTCTAGAAGTTCAAAAAATATATCTATTTAGCTCTCTGCCACTGTTGGAAGAATGACCCAGCTGCTGAAAATGTTTTATTGGCATATGGTTTGGATAGAAATTTACACTCTGATGAAAAAGGTGAAGACTTTTAAGTTTTCAAGGTTTCCACTAAGTTCCCCATATCTTTGTTAACCTAAGTGTAGAGTTCATTATTTTCTTTTTTCCCCCTTGAGATTTTAATGAAAGTTTATAGAGAACTTGAATTTCCATTCATTCATTGTTGCACATTTTCTTCCCTAACCCATCCCCAGTTCGCTTTTCTCTTTGGAAAAAAAAAATCTTCATGGTTGTACAGTTCCTCCCCCACTCCACCCCCAGCCCCAGACCACTCTACTGTGCCGCTCTCATTCTGGACTGTTGTCATGCAAATAATACCTAATCATATATTCCTTTTTTTTGGTATATTAATCACTTTTTTATTGTTGATATTTATCCCTTTGATTTAGAACCACTAGTGTCTTCCTGAAAGCTAAACATCTTTTAAGTAGTATGGGCGGTTTTCCTTACCCTTTGAACATAAGTCTTAAAAACACAGCTTGTTCTGATTCTAATAATACAATTCTCTTTTTCTAAATTTTCACATTACAAATTTGTTCTATTGCTTATTTTTGAATGTGTAGAATGACACTTTCAACATAAAGTGATTCATTTTCCTTACAAACATTTTCACTGACTTTAAAAACAATGAAGAAAATAATAAAAAAATATGGAACGCTTCACGAATTTGCGTGTCATCCTTGCGCAGAGGCCATGCTAATCTTCTCTGTATCGTTCCAATTTTAGTATATGTGCTGCCAAAGCGAGCACCATAGATTCCTTTTATGCAGTTCTTTCCCTCAGTTTCAAGATTTTAGGGGACTCCTTTCTTGAAACAAAGAAATAATTACCTAACAACCTAAAGGGTCTCTCTTCTCAAATCTTGAAGTTACAAATAGACTTGTCAATTATTTTAATTATTAAAACATTAAGTTATATATTGTTGCTGTTGTTGTATACTGTAGAGTCAAAACCAACCCGTAGCTGCCCCTCCACCGGGTTTTCAAGGCAGTTAATCGCATGGGAGGAGACTGTCCATCCTCCTATAGAGTAGCGGTGGCCTCCAACCACATGGCCTTGGGACTGCAGAGCAGCTTCTTGCCAGCAGAGCTCCCAAAGAAGTTATATATTAAGCTTTAATAATCTTCATTGTGCAGGTGTTAGAACCTTGCTTGCTGAAAGTTAGGAAGGCTTGAAATACTCGTTGCAGAAGATCAAACATTGCAGCCTTCTATATAGATTACATCTCATCGTCAAGAAAACAAAACTCCTTGGAACTGGACCAATAGGCAACATCATGATAGACGGAGAAAAAAAAATTAAAATTATCGATGACTTCTTCTTACTTGGATCCATAATCAATACACTTGCTACCAACAGTCAAGAGATCAGGAGATATAGTGTATTAGTGTAGTCAGGGACCTCTCCAAATTATTGTGAAGCAGTGATGTTAATTGGGGGACTAAGGTACTCTTGATTCAAGCTATGAGCTTTTCACTCACCTGCTATACGTCCAAGAGCTGGACAGTGAATAAGATGACAGAAGAATTGATGCCTTTGAGTGTGGGAGAAGATTACTGAATATTCCATGGAACCGCAAAAAAAAAAAAAAACAAAACAGCAGATACATCTCGGAGAAGGTGCAAGCAGAGTGCTCCTTGGACGCAAAAATGATAAAAGTTTTGTCTCAAATACTTTGGACATGTTGTCAGGAGAGGATGTCCCTTGGAAAGAGACACCATGGTTGGAGAAAGGTGGGAGGATGGCCAAGGAGGGGAAGATGCTCAACCGGGTAGACTGCCCCAGTGAGTGCAGCGATGGGCTTGAATGTGGCAGAGATTGTGAGGATGGCACAAGATAGAACAGGGTTACGTCTGTGCTTTGTAGGGTTACTATGAGTTGTACTCAACTTGACCACACCTAGCAACAACAACAGTAATCCATTATTGTAATTTTTCTTAACGATACAATCTTTCCGGTTTTTATTCCAAATGCAGACAAACACTTTTCCAAGGAAACATATGGTTTCTAATACATTTCTAGATTTTTTTTTAAAAAAGGTAGTTTTAAGTTTAACAGTGAAATCCAGAAATTCATTATTTCACAAGTGCTTTTTGTTGGTGTAGTATAAAGAAAAAGCTCATCAGAAGAGAGGCATGTATCTTAACTATGAAACTGCTAGAAAGGTGAGGATTTCTAGAGTAAGTGAACAGAGACTACAGGTCATTTAAATCTTGAATGGAGTAAACAGTAGTGTGGCGTAGAGGGGGGAAACTGTGGGGAATTAAGTCATTAAGTGCCGATAGTTTATATTTTACTGTTACTAGTGCCTATAAACCATTGCCCATGAAATTTTGGACATTACTTTCTCTTGAGATTTCATCTTCATGTGGGTTGCCCTAAAAAGAATAGCCTCACTTAGGTTGCATTAGTCACACGAAGTAGGATGTTAAACTTTATCCACAAAATCTTTAATAGTCACCTGAATCCTATGGATTATTCGATACTCCTCCAACTCACACATGTTTCTCCTTTTTTCAAGTGCATGTAGTGGCACGTGAGCCTGTTATTTCTATGACTAAGGTATAGTTTCTATAGCTACTGGATCATAATAGATTTGTTTTGGGTCAGTTTGCCTGAAACAGGCATTTTCACCCTAATTGTAAATGAATGGATAATGAAAAAGAATTTAAATGTCTACTTTGATAAAAGAGTTCAAAGTGTTAATTATAAATGATAATTCAAGAGTCCTTTATGTAGACCTTTAATGGCAGGCTTTTCTGTCCATCATAGTATGGGTATAGGAATTGTGTCTGGCTTTACTATAAAAAAGAGCCTCAGTTGTTCCTGTTGTTTGATTTGTGACATGTCCCTCTATGAGGTGGATTGATTCAGTGACTGCGATAATTAGGATGGGAGTGTCAGAGACAGTGCGATTGGCACAGGACAGAGC